TTCTAATCCTTGAGTCTTTTGTACAGTGCCTGATTTTTAGGAGGCACCGGGTAATTTTTTGATACCTGTGAACTCTTCCTTGACCAAAGCAGATGTCTGGTTCTGATTCCTCCTTATGTGAATCAGACTCGAGTTAGAAGAGCTAGTGGTGAGAGTAAGTCGAGAGGAAAGAAGTGACACAAGTCCTGGAGCCAGTGGAGTGAAGATAACAGGGTAGAGCCATAGCAATGTTTCGAGAAGGAGAGTTTCATTTTTCGGCTGAAGGTTGACTGCCTGATAAAGACATTACTTTGGCCGGGGCCAGGATTTTGTTAACCTAACCTGACACTCCATAGTTTAATTTGAACTTTCTTTCTTGACCCTTCAGCTTTATATATTGCTAAGCCTTTAAGCAACTTTAACCATAAATCCAAACACTACCTATGTGAGCCATCAGCCCTGGGACCATTAAGAGTTAGCCCTGTTGAGGAGTGATTTTTACACCCCTTGCGTTAAGTTTTGGAGAAATTGGGACCAACTTTCTCCGTGTCCCCTGGCTTGGTTTTGCGNAACAGGGTAGAGCCATAGCAATGTTTCGAGAAGGAGAGTTTCATTTTTCGGCCGAAGGTTGACTGCCTGATAAAGACATTACTTTGGCCGGGGCCAGGATTTTGTTAACCTAACCTGACACTCCATAGTTTAATTTGAACTTTCTTTCTTGACCCTTCAGCTTTATATATTGCTAAGCCTTTAAGCAACTTTAACCATAAATCCAAACACTACCTATGTGAGCCATCAGCCCTGGGACCATTAAGAGTTAGCCCTGTTGAGGAGTGATTTTTACACCCCTTGCGTTAAGTTTTGGAGAAATTGGGACCAACTTTCTCTGTGTCCCCTGGCTTGGTTTTGCGAAGGCCTGCTTTATTCTTTGTGGCTGCCGTTCCTGACTCTGCTGTTTTTCCCCCAAACCACAAAGCCCAACTCTGCTGAGTCTCTGTAACCAAGCACCACATATGTGGCGGGCGATGCTTAACTCAAGACGAGCTGTAACAGACCGTGGGAACTGGGTTCTCTGGTACTTCAGTGTCAATCCTGGGTCTCTTCTTTGTCCCTTATGCTTCAGAGGGTCTTTGCAGGACTGCAGAGTTTTAGGATCTGTGCTACTTAAGCTGAGGCACATTATTTCTGCATTTAACTGTATTTAATATTTGGTCCTAAACTATTTTTTTCTACTCTGTATCTTTCATTTTGCTCCTTGTGTAGCCTCTCATCTGTTTTCTCTCTTAGTTAATGCCTCTTATTGCCTGATAATAATGCTCATCTCAACATTATTTGAGGGCTCTGGTCCCTGGGTCCCTTCTTAAATTTACAGACAGTACATGAAATCAAATTTCTAATAAATCGGTGAACAGGAATAAACCAGGTTGTTCCAGGGTCTCTGGATTAACAAACCAAAATAATATAGTGACTGTATTTTGAGATTGGAGTCATATCTTTTAAAACCTAAGAGGCACACATGGCAAATGCGTGTGACCCACTGCTCAGCTTCTCCCCCATCTTGGCACTTTTTATTTTTTTAAACAAGATTGTTTGTAGAGCATGAAGAGATCACATGTGAACAAATGTGAATGGATTTTCCCTCTCCTCTAAATTATTTTTCCCACATAGTATCATAGTATGGCCTATTTATTTTTTCTACTAAAATCATTTCCAAAATTACCCTGGTTCTTGTCTTACCTTTTGTGTGTGGATAGGAAGGAATCGAGTGCACCCCCATGTGCTTGATCTGCCTGCTCATTGGTTTACCTTTTTCTGACCTCACGTAAACTAGCAGGGGAAGCAGCCCAGCACCGGAGAGGCTTGTGCGGGCTACTTGGATGAGTTCCAGATGGCGCCAGAAGGCGCGCTCCTCCTCGCAGTGGGCTTGCTGGAGTCTGCCGAGTCCCCGGGGAAAGCCAGGTGCTCGGGGCCTGAAGGGAGCACCTCTGCGCTCTCATCTCAGGACCATAAGCTGCTTCTGCCTGATCACCAAAAAGAGAGGTTAAGTCTGGGTTTTAAATTTAGTGTAAACAGTTCATTTTTTTTTAAGAGGAAGAAGGGAAAACTTGAAGAATTAATTTTAGTGTTTCAAAAAAAACCCAGAAACCATTCCAGAGAAGTATTCATGAAGTGTTGATCTGTTGTTTGCACAGGAGATAAAGATTAATCTCTCCACCTATCTCCTTAAGCCTCATTAAAATCGGTTTTCTATGAGAGATGGCTGGGTCCGTGTCTGGCTCCCTGAGACTGAGCTACTTTGGGCAAATTCTGTGTCATCCTTCCTTTTCTGTATGTGCTGCCTTCCTGACATAATACCTCACACTCAGCAAGCTCTCCTAAAGATATTCTAACTGAGCACAGACAAAATGAAGAAAAAAGAAAAAGTTTTAATCCTCACCAGAGGACATGCTGAGAGAGAGGAAAGGAGAAAGAAGGGCAGAGAGCGAGTGAGGTCAATGTGAGAGAGCAACGTCAATTGGTTGCCTTTCATATGCCCCTGTCTGGGGAGTGAACTACAACTCTTTGGTGCACAGGGCGATGCTCCACCAACTGAGCCACTGCAGCGGGGCAAGAAGTATTTTTGTTTTGTTTTTTCGTTTGTTTTTTTAAATATATCTTTATTGATTTCAGAGAGAGAGGAAGGCAGGGAGAGAGAGATAGAAACATCAATGATGAGAAAGTCAATGATCGACTGCCTCCTGCATGCCCCCGACTGGGGATGGAGCCCAAAACCCAGGCATGTGCCCTGACCGGTAATCAAACCCCGATTCGCCTGGATCCTAGGTCAACGCTCAGCCGCTGAGCCACGCCTGGCCGGTGCAGGAAGTAGTTTTGAAGATGGCTCTGCGAATTTATTAAGAACTAGGNCCGGTGCAGGAAGTAGTTTTGAAGATGGCTCTGCGAATTTATTAAGAACTAATAAATTCTTAATAAATTTATTTGCTCACCCTGACAGCTTTGCCTCAGTGGTTAGAGCTTTGGCTCCCATAGTGAAGGGTCCCAGGTCGATTCTCGCCAAGGGCAAGCACCTCTGTTACAGGTTCGATCCCCTGCCCTGGTTGAGGTGCGTGCGGCAGGAAGCCAATCCGTGTGTCTCTCTCACATCGATGTTTCTCTCCCTCGCTCCCACTCTCTCTTGAAAAGCAATAGAAAAAATATCCTTGAGTGAGGATTAAAAAAAACAACCGAAAAAAACTAGGCTGCAAAGAGCGTGTTATCCCATTTTTACCCATTCAGAGGGAGTTTTCGTAATACTGAACTCGGGATCCAGTTGACTGATGAGTTCAGCAATATGGTAGGAGGAGAGAAAGAAAAAGCATATTCAAATTAAGTAGCCTTTAATCTGAACCAAACCTTTTGAATCTTAGAATTTCAGCACTGGGTGCTGGAAATAATTTGAGTGATGAAATCCAAATATGTGTCTATGTTCCCCGGTAATCATTTTATAAAATATTTGAGCCCGGCCAGGCGTGGCTCAGCAGTTGAGCATCGACCTAGGATCCAGGTGATCAGGGTTCGATTCCCGGTCAGGGCACATGCCCGGGTTGTGGGCTCGATCCCCAGTCAGGGGTGTGCAGGAGGCAGCCGATCAAAGACTCTCATCATTGATGTTTCTATCTCTCTCTCTCTCTCCCCTTTCCTCTCTCTGAAATCAATAAAGATATATTAAAAAATAAATAAATAAAAATTTTAAAAAATACTTGAAAACATTTCTATTTTGAAATTCCTTATATAAGGAGACAAACTTGCTATGACAGGCACATGTATTTGTATAAATTTAAAGGCCCTATACTGTCATATCCACAAGTTCTTGGTTCAGCTTTATATGACATTAGACATGCTACTTCATACCTTTTTAACACAGTTTTTTAAAATGGGAATAACATTTTGTGATACTCGAGATTATGTCTTAAGTGTTTTCACAACACATTCCAAAAAATGGTAACTATATGAGATGATGGATACATTAATTAGATTGAGTGCAGTGATTATTTCACAGTGTGTATGTATATCAAACATCAAGTTGTACACCTTAAAAATAAACAACTTTTATTTGTCAACTATACCTCAATAAAGCTAGGGGGAAAAATACATTATTTCTGAATAGTATTTATTTTGCCCTAAGCAAACACTCTGTAGTTATAAATGGTTATGCTTAAAGTTACTGATATCATTAAACTTATTATGTATTTTCTAAAGTATATAATTTAACTTTTATAGTCAATTATTTCTCAAAGGCCAGAAATTTTGTTGTTGTTTTACTAGGCATGGGACGGGGCAGACATTAGTTTCCAGATTGTGATAGTTAATGAGTGCCAGTAGAGGGCGCGCCAACTCATCTTTCTTTGTAAATTTAGCGCTCAACTTGATGAGGCAGGTTTGTGAAAAGGGCATGCTTGGAAATTAACACAGGATTTGAAAGATTTCAAACGTACTAAAGGATGACAATTGTAATTCTCCTTAACCTTGAGGGGGAAAATATCCGACTATGGTTTTCATACTTTTCATAAACTCCTTTCAAATAACTAGACAACAATACATACATAGTGTGACTTCTTGTANAAAATATCCGACTATGGTTTTCATACTTTTCATAAACTCCTTTCAAATAATTAGACAACACCTACATAGTGTGACTTCTTGTGAGTGATTCATCACATAACCCAAGTCTTTTAAAATCAAGAATCTGTCTCTGCTCAGTTGAGGAAGAGGAGGAGGAGGAGTGGTGTAAGTAATGTTATTGTTTGAAGTGAGGTGAAGCAAAGTAAAATTTTAAATAATTGGTGGAGAGACCCAATAGCAATGTCATATGAAGGTGAATTGCTGAGTCATTGTGTAGGATAGGGAAAGGGAAAATTTTATTTTACTTAGAACTGGTATTCATTCAGAAGACTTAAAAACCAAAAGTCTAGAAAAGCTCTAGGACCTTTGTTTGTATCTAGATGGCTGGACCTAATTATTACCTGCTGATTTCTTTATAGACCCCAGAAGAAAATACCACGTGAGGCTGCTGGCTTACAACAACATAGAAGACGGTTATCAGGCAGATCAGACGGTCAGCACCCCAGGATGCGTGTGTAAGTCCGAGTTACTGTAGCTCGACGGCTCCTTTCAGTTTGTATGGCTCACACTCCTTTTTCTCATCTTCTTTTAAATCTGTCTCATTGCTACTTGGAAGCCTTAGTAGATTGATTACTTTATATTCTCCATGGTGCCTATGATAGTATCTTCAACAAGTACCTGCTCAGTAAATATTTAAGAGATGTGTTTAATTATAAGAACTTATTTTACTTTTGCATTCAAAAGACCATAAGACATTTAACTGGGAAAAATAACCCTGAATACCTTCATATACTGAATTTTCTTTCATCTGCTCTATCCTTGAGGCTAGTTATTTCCTTCCAGTTACTGTTCAGTTTTATTACTACTAAGAGCTGTTTGATTTTATTGCTATTAAAGTGGGTGTCAGTCTAGTTTTAAGTCCACTCCTGGCTTTCCGAATTCTGGTGGCTAGTAGCTTGACGTCTCTCTGCCTCTGTTTTACAATCTAAGTGTTGATAATATTTGATTCCTTACATAATTCTTGGAAGAGTCGCTCAGGTTTGAATAATATATCTCTAGACCACTGCAAACCTCTCGAGGAAGAAAGACCTAAAGTCAACGTATCGGGTGGGTGTTAGGATTTTACCATTTACCACTTTCTACAGTAAATGTTATGCCGTGCAGTAAATTAACATTGTCTCTTTTAATAGCTGTCCGTGATCGCATGGTCCCCCCTCCTCCTCCACCCCACCATCTCTATGCGAAGGCTAACACCTCATCTTCCATCTTCCTGCACTGGAGGAGGCCTGCGTTCACCACTGCGCAAATAATTAACTACACCATTCGCTGTAACCCTGTCGGCCTGCAGAATGCTTCTTTGGTTCTATACCTTCAAACGTATGTAGCTTCTATTAATGGTGGTTTTCTTGGCTCCCCTCCCCATTCATACTTCCTCCCATCTTGGGCCAACTTGAGCTTCAGCTGTAAGCATCTGTCTCAGGACTTGCCTTGCTTATAAAATGCCCGGGGATTTTGCACCTTTCCCATATTCAGTTCTGAAACCTCATTTTTTGACATTTAATTTCCGTAAAAGATTTTTTTGTTTGTTTCCCCGGCCTCATGCAAAAAGATGAGGCAAGAAGCTATTTTTAGTTTCATGTGGCTAAAGAAAAGCATGTTTAAAGAAAGAAACAAAAGATTGCTTTCATGCTGGCATCAAAAAATAAAGCTAGTTATTCTGTTTTCTAGGTTATAGATAAAAAGATGCCTGTCACTGCGATTTAAAAGCATAATTTGACTTCCAGCATTTCAGAGGAGATCCCTTTGTTAGGGCATTTGTAGGCAATTTGTATGGCAATCCGTAGGCGTATTTTTATAGGATAATACCAAATATAGCATATAATAGTCAAATTAAATTGTTATTTTAGTGTTAAAAAATTTAGTATGCTCTACCTGTAGATTGAAAGTACTGACAGTCTTTGAGAAACAATGTGCTAACAGCATTAACAACATCATTGCTCATTTTTATAGATCAGAAACTCACATGTTGGTTCAAGGTCTAGAACCAAACACCAAATATGAATTTGCTGTCCGATTGCATGTGGATCAACTTTCCAGTCCCTGGAGCCCCGTCGTCTACCATTCTACACTCCCAGAAGGTAACGAAGGCAGCTCTCTTATGGGTTTTATCTAAATGTGTAACAAATATATGTGTCACTTTGAAGAGGATACTATCCTTGTTGCCAGTTGATGTGTATGTATTTGTTTTGTTTTGTTTTTTAACTTTTGAGATTTCTTTCCTTTATTAAATTGATTCTCTCCCCTCTCAGTACATGTATTGCACAAGCAAATGGGCTTAAATCAGGTGTGCTATTCAAGGTGTGCTGTTCAAGGCTGCACCGAAATAATTTTAAATGTAAATAAGTGAATAATGTATATGTTGGGAGCCAACATGAGAACCTATATTTATGTGTATGTAGCTTGATGCCATGCGCAGTGCGTAGATGTAATATGTGATTGAGTACCAATTCTATAGCTTACCTGTGGCTCTCACTAAGATATTTTTTGTCTCCAAAACTTGTATTTCCTTTTCTCTAGAATGAGGGTGAAGGACTAGATGGTCTATGAGGACCTCTATTTTAATTATGCTGAAAGAAAGCAAAGAGCATTTATTTTCGTGAGCAAAGGCTTCTTTGCTATGGTTTTGACAATATTTCATATTCTGTGTGGTGCCCAGCTCTTCACACTTTTAGCTTATATTAAAAATGGGGTCAGTTAAAATCCCAAGACTTCCCTACTTTTCACAGATGTAGATTATTAGTGTAAAGGCTGCCCTGGAACTCAGTGGTCCACAGCTTTTTGAAGAATAACTGAGTGTTCCTGGCCACTGAAGTATTTTCTTCAGTGACTTCCTAGAGCAGGTCGAGTATATATTCTATACATTTTAATAAGAAATACTTGAATAGATTCAATACTTAATGGAGTAAGACAGTACCTAATGAGCGGGTGCTACTGGGGGACTGTAAACCTAGCTAGTGATTAGTGTGGCAAAACCATGTCAAGAGCCCTAAAAATGCTTACAACCTCTGATTTAGTAATTCCCCATCTAGGAATCTACCTTCTCCTTTATATTTTTAACATGTTTTGAATATTATAAAAATGAGATTAGCTTTCAGGAAGAAAAGAAAAATAGTGTTTTAGCCCTGGCTGCTGGTGCTCAGTGGTTAGAGTCTATGCCCATGCACGGAAGGGCCTCGGGTTTTTTGTGTGTTTTTCAAATATATCTTTATTGATTTCAGAGAGAGGAAAGGAGAGGGAGAGAGAGATAGAAACATCAATGATGAGAGAGTCATTGATCGAGCCCACAACCTGGAATCCCACCAGGAACCGAACCCCAATCGCCTGGATCCTAGGTCGATGCTCAACTGCTGAGCCACGGCCGGGCGGGCGTCGGGTTTGATTCCCAGTCAAGGACACGTACCTGGGTTATAGGTTCGATCCCCAACCCTGGTTGGGATGTGTGCAGAAAGCAACCAATCGAGGTGCTTCTCTAACATTAATGTTCTTTCTCTCTCCCTCTCTGTCTCTCTGTCTCTGTCTGTCTCTCTCTCCTCTCTCTCCCTCCCTCCTTTCCACTCTCTGAAAAGCAATGGGAAAAGTATCCTCGGGTAAGAATTAACAAAACAAAAAAAATATTATTTTGCTATTATCACTAATAATCAGTAAGAGCTGAGCTTTTCAGATGTTTTTATAGTGGTTTCTAGTTTTTCAAACTGTTTTCTATGCCTACCATTCTGTTAGCCAGGTACTTGAGTGTGTTTGACTATCCTAGTAACACCATATTTTCTACTTGTGTGCACAGCACCAGCAGGGCCACCAGTTGGAGTGAAGGTCACGCTGATAGAGGATGACACTGCCCTGGTTTCTTGGAAGCCCCCGGATGGTCCAGAGACGGTTGTAACACGCTATACTATCTTATATGCATCGAGGAAGGCCTGGATTGCAGGAGAGTGGCAGGTTCTACACCGAGAAGGTAAATATGATTGTAAATTACCAAAGAAAATGAAAAGTTAAGATTAGTAATAATAAGGAAACAAAGGGAAAGAGGGATCTAGAATTTGTTTTGAATTTATATTTATGAAGTAACACATTATTAAGGGTTTTGGTTTTACTCAGAGAGCGTTGGGAAGCCATTGACATATTTGAAGCATGAGCATGTGATTGGCATTTCAGAGAGATCGCTCTGACTTTTGTGAATAGAACAGATTTGGTTGAGGGAGTGGGCGGCAAGAGACTAGGAAGTAATTGTAATGGTCCAGGAAGGAGAGGGTAAACCTAGATTAGGGTGGCGAGACTTGAGATGGAAAGGAGAGGATGGTTGAGAGACATTATTAAGGAGGGAAAATCAGCAGGACTTAGTAGCTTAAGGAGGGAGGGAGAGGGGTAAGGGAGGAAAGGTTGTTACAGGTAATCACTAGATTTCCCTTGGTGGTGTGCCTTGCACTGGAGCAGCAAACACTGGGAGAGGACCTGATTTAAGGGAGAAGACCTTTGTACAGCTACTAAAATGGTCCGCTGGCAAATAAATTGACCCACATGAATATTAACGTCCACTTGAGTACAGGGAAAAGCTGATTAGGGCTTATGAACACTGAATTTAATTTTTTAACTCCCACCTATTTTTAGCTGAGTAAAACTGAATTCTAAAACTCTTGATATTCTCACTGCATGCTCTTACCGTTATATTCTTTTAACACTTTTGGGTCTTTCATTTGGACAAGTCCTGCATGCCTGTTTTTAGATGGGCCATCACATAAATAGTAAAACTTCATTATTTTGGCACTTTCTTAATTCAAAGGTACATGCTGGGAAAAGAACAGTTTGCCAAGCAGTTAAAAGCTTAAGAACAATTTCAAGAAGGAAATTTGTTGGCCATCTACATATTCTAAACAATTTACAGTATGTACTAGGCACTTACACATACATTTTGCCTTTTAAGGGGAATATTTATCCAATTAAGAAAATAAACTTCAAAGACACTGTGTGGGTGTAATAAACTCTGTGCAATTGTAAAATAAACAAATGACAAATTTAGCTGGAGTTTTGATAGTTGTATATTCATATTTCTCATTGAGTAGAAGCCCCACTAAGGAAAGATTCCCTAGTCACCGAAGAGACGTACTTGCTAGCAATACGGTTTTATATTTGTATCAGTTGTCTGTTGCTACCTCAGAAACCACTCTATAACTTAGCTACTTTACCTTCTCACAATTCTGCGAGTCAGCAGTTTGGACTGGGATCAGCTGGGCAGCTCTGTTGGTCTCTCCTCAGGTCACTCATGAGGCTGTAAATCATCTCACAGTTTCAACAGAGTGAAGGTAGCTTAAAAACAGCGAGAGAGAGCTCTGACACCAGGATGAGAGGAGGGAGCCCATGGACAAAGCTTTGCAAGCCTCTGCTTGCATCACATTTGCTAATGTCCACTGGGCAAAGCAAATCATGTAGGCAAGCCCAGAGTTAGTGTGGCAGAGGACTACCCACGGGTGTGGCCAGATGGACGTATAATTTACTTGGGCCTATTAGTCTTACAGTCTACCATAATATTTTTAAAATGTAGAATTCACTTTTACTTAATTATTTCTGAAATGATTTATTGATATAAAAATTTGACCAAATGATAAATCTGATTTACTGAGGTATTTTATAAATATTAATAAAGAATTTTGCCCGGCTGGTGGGGCTCTGGTTGAGCATCAACCCATGAACCAAAAACTCCCTGATTCAGTTCCGTCAGGGCACATGCCGGGATTATGGGCTCCATCCCCAGTAGGGGGCGTGTGGGAAGCAGGCGATCCATGTCTCTCTCTCGTGGATGTTCCTCTCTATTCCTCTCCCTTCCTGTCTCTCTAAAATCAATAAAAACATATTTAAAAAAAAAAATTTAATCACATTAGCACATACTTCCTTTAGCTCTTCATTTGTATCTGCCTAAAAAGAAACAATATTTTATTTTGGTAAAGGTGAGGAAAAGATGGGAAGAGAGAGTATATCACTATTAACCTCCAATACATATTGGTTTATGTATATTTACATATATAAATAACTCACATATTTATTGCTAAGTGGAATAAGATTTTTTTCATTAGTTAAAACATTTTTAAAATGTTCCTGGTGACCATATGATATTTGTGGCTAAAATTGTATATGCTAAAGTGGTTGAACAGAAATGTGATGTGAAAATATGCTTGTGTGTAATTTCGAGGATCAGAAATGACAACCTTTATGCAGCACAAACTATTTAGTTATTTTAAAATCTAAAAGGCACTATAGGAAATCATGCTCTTACTATAGCAGTTCCTGAACTCTGTTCCTCACAGCATGAGTTTCCCAAGATTGCAAAGGTGCCCCTCTCCAAAAAAAAATTTAAAGTCTCATGACTAAATAAATTTGAGTAACACCGTATACTATTCCACATACTATTAGAGATTCACATTGGAAATTAAAGTCCTGTACTAAAGGATCCCATTTAAATCAACATTTGCCAAATAAATTGGACTACTAATAGTAGGAATATAACTGATGGATCAAATGAATTCTTATTGAATGATTCCTGTGTGACAGGCTCTTTTCTAGACAGTATCACAGTGAACGAAACAGTGTTCCTTCCCCATTGGAGCTTACATCTTAGGAAACACACAAGCAAATATAAAAATATTCAGGTAGTATTGTAAGTGCTATAAACTACAATAAGGGGAAAAGACAAAGTGATGGAGGTAGTAAGACAAGTTCTTCTGAAAGAAATGACATCTGAGCAGAGCCATGAGGATATCTGGGGGAAGTGCAAAGGCCCTGAGACACAAGGGTGCTTTGAACATTAAAGGAACTAGAAGGCAAGGGAGGCTAGAGTAGGGGGAAGAGCAGGCAGTGGGAAATGAAGGGGATTTGGACAGCGGTGATAAGGGCCTTGTACGCCTGACTGTGGACCCCAGATTTGATTCTAAGAGAGAAGGAAGATAGTGGAGGCTGTTGATCAGATTTACATTTTAAAAGGATTACTCTGGCAGCCACCTGAAAAAAATGATTCTAAGGAGGTAAGAATAGAAGCTAGAGACTATTTAATACTCTTTAGTGTCCATGTGAGAATTAATGGGCGTTTGGACAGGGGTGATAATGGGGAAGGTAATGAGGAATGATTAAAACATAATTTGAAAGAACAGCCTACTAGATTTGCTGCAGATTGATGTGTGAGGGGGAAAAAGCAAAATTGGTGAGGAAAATCAAAGGTTTGGTTTTGCACATATTAAATTTGAGATGCCTCTTGGATAAGCAGGTAAAGAGGTTGAGCAAGCAGTGGGAAGATTAAGTTCATGGGGCTCTGGTATATTTTAGAGGTCGCCAAGGTGTAGGTGATATTTAAGACTGGCACTGGTGCTGTACACTTGAAACATACAAAATAGTAGTGAATGTAAACTATAATTTAAAAACTTTAGGGAAAAAAGACTGTGGAACTGGAAAAAAAATCACTCAGAATGTTGATGGGAGACAGCTGGAAATCTTACCCATTGCCTTTACATTTTAAACGAACACTCCTTTGGTAACAAAATAGCTTATATTTTAATACAAGTTCAGTTGGCATTTGCTGAGAATTATCTTGTATAGGCATTACACTAGCTGTTCATTCATATTCCGCTGTTCACATAGGAAATAAATATCTGTCCTCCAGAAAGGAAGAGGAGCAGGAGGTTGGGAGGAAGACCTACTGTCACAAGTGTGTCAGACACTTGCTCAGCGGTAGTTTATATAATCTTTATTATAATTACATGAGCTGGGAATTATTGCCCCCGTGAGGAAAAGTAAAGTTCAGTAAGGTGCCCCAAGTCACAAATGACTTAGTTGGTCGGGTGCCAGCATTTGGTGAACAGTGATACAACACAGACTATTACAGTGCCTGGTTTGTGAAGCTCCTAGTCTGGTGAAGAGTCAGACACATACAAAAGGCAGTAGACTGGAATAATCACAGTGAGATTGAGGCAGTCTGCTGAGAGAATATAGGGACACTCAGCTCACTTTAATATTTGGGAACTGCTTTGAGTGTGCTCATAGGGGAACCAGATTCTCAGTTTCCCTTTTTTTTGGTCTGAAGGAAAGGGGGCATGCGTGTACACAAACACGCTCAGCTCACCCGCTCTTAAAATTTAAATTAAATGAAAAGACTTTTAATTTCAGGTAGTGATTAGTTTTTGCCAAGCATGTTTAAAAAATAAAATGTAAAGTATTCTGTGATAAAATGGAAGCTCAATTTATTTATGTGTCTGTCTGTGAAGAAATGGAAATGTTTTTCCTCCTAGCTAATTGCAACATGTCACAATGCATCTCTGTTTTTTAATTCACCTGCCTAAGAACATGGGAAGACTGCAAAGGCTCTTCCTGATTCTAAATATGGCTCAGTTTGTTTATTTAACAGTTGTGTACTCAAGTAACTCACACTCTCTTTGGGCCAAGTTGAAACCATAGAATATAAAAACAAGCTGTTTTTGGCTCCTCACATTGCCACTTGGTTCAGCTGCCTCACAGCATGTGATCTGCAGAGGTGGCCTCTGAATCATGTCCTCAGCTCGAAGATCACCCCACAGTTCACTTGCATAATGAAATACACTCTTTCAAGTGCATTAGAGTAAAAACCATTATATACATGTATAAAAACATTTTATAACTCTGTATATGTTATATATGTAAAACTATTTATTTGTAAAAAACATATATATATATATGTATGTATGTATGTATAAAACAAACCAAAAAAGCATGCTACTCTTAAGAACTACTCCTGAAACAGAATTTCAGAGAATTATGTAGGGGAAATGTCCGTGGTACACTAGTCAGCGAAAACTCTAGGATAGAGAAATGCATGTAGTCAGTACGTACTCACACACGTATGCTGCAGACACACATGCATATACCCCAGATGTTAACAGTGGGAGATTGTCATTGTACTTATATTTAGCTTTATCTTTCCAAGTGTTCTACAGTGAGCATGTGTTACTTTTACAATGAGAAAAATATTTTTAAAATGAAGTGCCATGATCGTGTGATTGAAAGAACGCGTAAAAGATAAAGTTTACTTAATTTGTCATTGATGTGTTTTTAATAGGGGCAATAACCATGGCTCTGTTGGAAAACCTGGTGGCAGGAAACGTGTACATTGTCAAGATATCGGCATCCAATGAAGTGGGGGAAGGACCCTTTTCCAATTCTGTGGAGCTGGCGGTGCTTCCAAAGGAAACTTCTGAATCGAATCAGAGGCCCAAGCGTTTAGATTCTGCTGATGCCAAAGGTCTGTATACTGTCACAGTCGCTGATTGTTCTTAAGAAAAGAAAGTGCAGATGTGCTTCTCACCTCCCTGCGCTTGATTCCCACTCCAACGATGGCCACCGCCCGAAACCTGCGCAGTTCCTCGGCTTGTTGCCAGGCGGCGCCGAGGCTGTGGGGCGGCGTGGCTCTTGTCTGCGCTCCTGGAAGAAGGCAGGCTTGCCTCAGAGCTGACTGCAGCCTTCAGACCACTGTGTCCCGGGTGGCTCTCCCGGCTGCCCAGCCGCCTGGACAGAGGAGCTCCCTGGGAGGTCTCATGGAAGTAAACATCGGTGGTGCCTGTGGTGGTCAAGCTCAGAAGAGCGTGGGTTTCATTAAGAGTTTTCACTGCAGAAAAACAGCCTTTCCGGAGAGAAAGTTGTTTGGCTCAAGAAAAGCAATTGGGAGAAATATCTTTAAAGAGCCACCCTCCCTCCACTCAGGGCAGCTGTCCTGTTCTGAAGGAAAGCGGGCGCCGTGGTGCAGGGAAGACCCCTCTCCTCCCCTCTGGGGGCATGGGCCTCTGTGCGTGCGGGAGCGGGCAGCTTTAAATGCAAGAAATGCCACATTCAGTGGTGTGGGGGTGTGTGCTGGGGGGGGTGAAGGGAATGAGAATGAATGAGAAAGAAAGAAAGAAACACACAAGGGGGGGGAGGACAGGGCAGTGAGATTTAAGCACAGGAAGCAGGTAGCCACAGGAGCTACCCCAGTCATCAGGGGAAAGAGGGCAAGGCTCATACTCACACCTCAGATACTCCCAGTGTCTAGAGACCAGCAGCCAACGTGCAGAGTCAAGGCCCCCACTCGAGAACTAGTGACTTGGAATCTGCACTTGAGCACACCCCCTAGTGAAGCATGAGCACGTTAGGGTTTGAGAAGCACTGCTAAGGAAATGCAGATACGTAAATGGAACACTAGTAACAGCTCTGCTTCTAAGGTAACATGACATGAGTGCTATCCTTTGGTCCATCAAGGAACAACTGTGCCTTTTGCCTTTAGCATTATAAATGATAAGCTAATGCTCATGTTTGATATAATAATATGCTATCTAGAACTCATATTTAGAATCCTCACTCTGGGAAGATAAACCGATCTTTCTGAGATCACTGATAAAAGTGTGATATGTGTTTTTTTTCCTGCTTAGACACAGTGTCAAAAGTTTTCCTCTGTGAGGAAGGAAAATTACAGAAAAGCAAATATCTGAGAATTATGATAAATGGAACCATGGATTTTTTTTATTGATTCTGAGTAAATGTGTTTCCCCTTCTAGTTTATTCAGGCTATTACCATCTGGACCAAAAGTCAATGACTGGCATCGCTGTAGGCGTTGGCATAGCCTTGACCTGCATCTTCATCTGTGTTCTCATCTTGATATACCGAAGTAAAGCCAGGTGTGTTTCCATTGCTACAGATGTTGAGGTGGTTAAAACACATTTAAACAGTAACCACAAGAAGCAAATTGAAAACAAGTGACATTTAGAGTAACTGAGATTTTCCACTTTAAAATAAATATATTATTACTTGAGTTCTTACAGCTATAGAAATTACTCACTTTGCAAAGATTACTTTCTTGCCATTTGAAAAATTTACTGTGCCAGTAAAATATTCTTAAATACCTAGTTTCATTTACTTAGTATTTCAAGAAATACGAAGTATTATCCTTTAGTTTATAAAAATGACACAGTTAATCTGATAGATCTACTGATTGAGAGTATTCCTTACTGTCTGGAATATTTTCACATTTAAGTAGCCTGAAGTGCGTGAGTCACTGAGAGCTCCTGCCGCACCGCCACAGACACAACAGATGGTTGGGCATCTCTGGACATGGATTAAAACGAATGTAATAACTACAGATTAATTTTCTGTGAACTCTGTCAGGCAATCTCATCTGTAGTTTGACTTCTGCTAAATTCTCAGCATTCAGTGAACTTGTCTGTTTTGTGTATTTTGGCTTTTATATGTTTTTGCTTCTGCTTTAATTTACTTCCTTAAGGTTCTTTTGTAAATTAAAAACAAAAGCAAAGTCAAATGCGTATCATTTTTGAGTATTGTGCATCACTGTACTCCCTCCATTTGCCTAAGTTGTTCAGAGTTTACTCTCTGTGTGTGTTCGGTACTTGACTAGGAAAACATAGTATGTTAATGAAGAGTTAGTGCTAACATATTTTTGTATATTGAACTAGCTTAGTTTTACTGTCCTAAGTTTCTCACTTTAAGAATTTTCTTACAAAATCTTTATGCACAGTGTTTTAGTGATACCTAAATCTTGAAGAAGTGCCACTGTAAATTTGCCATCAAAATTGGCAAGTCAAATGTGATGTTAGTGTGCTAGTCTGCAGACCCGAAAGAGGATATGTAAATTAAAAATTATAATTTATGCGTAAATTATAAATCAACAGTAATAAAAACAGTTTGTAAATGTTAAGGTTTCTGTTAAGAGTTTGTAAAAAATATATATGTATGTAGATATTGGGACAAAAAAATTTTAAAAAAGCTTTCTTAAATCATAAACATTTTCAGCAGTGACTTGGAGTTAAAATCTAATACTCAGTTTCTAAAACTATTTGAGAAACAAACATTAAAGAGCTATATTGTGCACAAAGTCGTGGTTACAAGCCACATATGGTAGGTACATTTACCTATATCTCCTATCAAATTAGATCTCCTTTTCTTGCAATATTTCAGGAAATCATCTGCTTCGAAGACGGCACAGGGCGGAACTCAGCCGTTATCTCGTACCAGTGCCTCCCTAGCTGGTGGAAATGAAGGAGGAAAGAACCTGGAAGGGGCTGTAGAAAACCAAGACTCCTTAATACCAATGATGATGCCCAACAGCTTCATTGATGCAAAGGTACTCCAAGCCGAGAGGCTGGTTTGCTGCATAATCCTTCCCTCCACTCATCTTCCCTTTATGTGTAAAGTTTACTTACCAAAAAATTACATGTTGGATGTGTTGTATCCATACTTCACTTAATGAAATGTGAAACAGTTTTACCCAGATCTTCCCTTACACAGAATATTTGGGGCGAAGAAGATAGGGATATATAAAAGAATAAAAGATGAAAGAGATGTAGAAAAATAGAGAAAGTGACATAAATTCAATTAAATGGGGTTATATGGAGCTGCAGTATTCTTAAATAAGGACACCAGGGCCATTAGTCTATATTTATGATAAATTGAATTGCCCTGTATTTACTGGTGCACAATTTTTTACAGATTTACTGTATACTTTATTTGGTTGATTTTTTTTTTAACTGAATTGACCATCAGAACATTCCAGGTATGAATGACATTTTTAAAAATATGGAGCATCTCAATAGATGTCTCAAGAGCCTTCCCTTTATGGCCAGAGGACATTGGATATAGTTAAGAATGTCATTGGAGGATGTTACTTTATGTCCTTTCCACTATCTGTAATAGTAGTACAGTGATAAGCATTATGAATACCAATTGAAAATTATTTTTAGTCACGTTGCAACATTAGATAGTGTACATGATTATAATAGCTCTCATAACCAATGTGCTACAAACCAGGTGTCAGTAAACTACAGCCAAGACCAGGCCAGCCCATGGCCTGTTTTTGTATGGTCATTACCTGAGCTAAAAATGTTTCTTAACATTTTCGTTTTGGTTTTGTTTTTTACATTTTTAAAGGGTAGTTTGAAAAGAAAAAAAAGATGGAGAAAATGTGACAGAGGCCATATATAGCCTGCAAAGACAAAAATATTTACTGTGTGGCCCTTCACAGAAAGTCGTTTGCCAAAATTTGTTATAAATTCTTTTCTCCAAAGCCTTCCCTAAAATTTAGAATAATAAAAATATAACAAAATGTTAGACATTTTTAATATTGAGTTTTATACAGTTATGTTTAACAGATGCAATTTACTTGTATCTAGCAAGTAAACTGAAAGTTCTGTATTATGAGTAAATAACAGTGAATGGATCTTTGGTAACTCCTGCTGTCCTTTTTGTTAGCAACTTAATTTAGCTTTTATTTGCTGAGACAAATGTAAGCCATGCAAGTTATTTCAAATTAACCTAGAACATTAGAACCTAAACCTTTTAAATAAGCATAAAAAGCACTAAAATGCCCTGTAGTTCTGTTACTACTAACTTGGAACTAGACAGGAGAGAGGATTGGGGAGAAACAGAATGGGAAGGAGACACAGAGAAAAGCAGGAGATTCCAAAGTGAAGGGAGGCAGAGCTGGGCCGAGGCCTGGAGGGAAGCCGAGAAGTCAGTTTGGAGAACAGGTATCTCCATTCTCTGGATACCCCATCTGTTGCCATACGTAGGCCCTTTTTTTCTCCTTCTCAACTGTTTTTAAATTTTTCAAACACATGGAAAGGTTAAAATAATAATATAATGAATACACAAATAATGGTCAATATCTTGTCATACTTCTATATATCTGTATTTTTATTTGCTGTATCATTTGCAAGTAAGTTTTGGAACCATTATACTTCATCTCATATACTTTGTTTAGGATATGTATATCTCTCTTAAGGATAAACCTCTGGTATCCTTTTGATCAGACAACTACCCTGAATTTGTGGCATGCTGCTTGCGTACAAGAAGAAATAGTAGTATCGGTGATTGTTTTCTCTTAACATCTAAATATTTTGTGTACTACTTGTGATAAGCTAAATACATTCTATTTACATTTTCCCCTTTTCTTTCTCCAGGGAGGAACTGACCTGATAATTAATAGCTATGGTCCTATAATTAAAAACAACTCTAAGAAAAAATGGCATTTTTTCCAAGATTCCAAGAAGATAAAAGTTGAGCAGGTAACCCCCCTAAATGAGGAAAATCTTTGGCAACTCATGGTATATGAAGTGGTAATTAAAAAGAGAGGAAAATGTAAATGAATGCTTTAATTTTCATGTTCTTTCTGGGTGTTATTTTATTAATTTGGAGCATGACTCCATGGAAAGCCATGGGGAGTGATCACTGAAATGACAGTTGGAATAGTAATTAGAACTGTGGTTTTCAGTGGGGAGTGGAGGGCAGTGGAGAAAGGGACGGGGCAGGAGCATGCATCCAAATCCCTGAAGATGCCTTTGACACCTTCCTTACCCCAGTAATCCTGATGTGTTCCCAGTCCTTGGTGGGGAACCGCTGACCTGGACAGTCCCTTCATGATGATTACCTTTCACCCATGTACTGGGACAGTTTGCTATCTCAGAATAGATGGACTATGTAAAACCAGATTTATTATTTTTCAGGAGCATTCTATCATCACTGATGGTGTTTTCTGTATTTTTGCCCAGCCTCAAAGGAGATTCACTCAGTCAGTCTGCTTTTACCAGCCAGGCACGACTGTGTTAATTAGTGATGAAGACTCCCCCAGCCCTCCAAGTCAGACAAGCAGCTTCCCAAGACCCTTTGGTGTTGCAGCTGATACTGAGCATTCGGCCAATAGTGAAGGCAGCCATGAGACCGGGGATTCTGGAAGGTTCTCCCACGAGTCCAACGATGAGATACACCTGTCTTCAGTTATAAGTACCACACCCCTGACCTCTGATTCCTTCACTGGCAGTGATTCAGGTGGGGATCCCTCCACAAGGAAGTGTCAAGGCCCTGCAGAGCCCGCGGGTGCTGAGCAAACTTCCTCTTCAGTCCTGCAGCCACCGTCTGCCATGCTAAGCTTTGATAAAAATGATTTTCCAATCTAGACAGCCATGTGCAGGTATTGTCACCTTTAATTCTGTTCGAAGGACAATGAACAGGGAGCCAAAGCCTTTTGTGAAAATCTTGATGTCTTATTGGGTATTTCAGCTTTTTTTGAATGTGTCTTCTTTTATTTTTAAACTCACGTATTTTGAATGTTTCATTGTCAGCAATGTGAAAAGACGGTCAAGATATTTGACTGCATTATAAAAATATATCACTGGAGCAAAGGGAAGACTTTTGAAAGCCCCTTTGCTAACTATCTACCTCAGTTTGCCAGATGGCAAACTTAGAAGACAACTTTGTTACCTCGTTTGTTGTGCTAGTTTATCTCAGCTACATAACCAATGATACTTCCTAGTAGCATTTTGTTTTCATTGCTGTATGTGTAATGTGTGTGATCAAAGGAGTCATATAGGTAGATGAGTAAGAATGTTTATCTGAAGCTCTGATTTTTTTTTAAAAAACAACAACTATGACATTTGCATGATTTTTATAATTTAACGCACCTCTCACTGTGAAGACTGTTAAACCACTGAGAAGGGAAAAAGTGGGACTGTTGATTTTAGTGAATGACCAGGACAAAAAGTGTTTCTCTTGAGACTAGAACTGCTTGGTAGCATATAGAGAGTACTGTTGCTCCAAGGGCGTTTATGTTCCGGGTGTTAGAGTCTGAGCGCTTCACCTGCTGTATCCCAAACCTCAGCCTGCCGAGAGCTGTGCCTTTTCTACCTTCCCCTTTGCCTGACAGTTGGCCAAAGGCTGCACTGTCTAGTTTCCAAAGCATCCTCAACATTTCCAGAGTTAGTAGCAACACTCCATGCAGAAAACAGATTTTAAAAGAGAATGGGTTAGGGTTGTTTTGTTAGTTTGTTTTAAAATCCCAGGTTGGCTTAAAGGGGTAAAGAAATTTCATAAAATGTTAAGAATGAAGATAAGAGTAGACAGTAAAATGAATGTGAGGTTATCATGGTGACAGTGCCTTCCATTATATACTATGAAATTCTTCGCCTTATATCTTTTAAATATTCATGAAGTTGTTTAGGACACGAGTACAGAAAGTTGCCTTAAGACCGTCTTGGGTTTTTTCGTCGTCACTATTTTGATGTACAGGATCTTATCAAAGCCTTCGGTTTGTTACCGTGCAGGTTTTGTTTAGGGATACATATTCAGAGCTCTACCACCTTACTCGTCTTTTCGTGAATTCTTAAGAGAATTTGGTACTCTTTAATCTTCCTTCAGTGTCAATGCTGTGAATGAGGAATGCTAACTCCAGGAGTGAGTTAATCCTCTTGCTGGTTTGAAATCAGCAGACCGTTTACTCAGCTGCACAGATGAGGCCTTCTCTCAGTCTCTAGGTGCCCAGCAGTGGGAGAGGACACAGACTTAAACATGTGGTGTAAAGGGGGGGCCCATATCCTTTTAAAAGTATTTTTTCAAATGATCTGGAACTGAATTTTGGGGGCTCGCTTTAGAAGGAATCTTAATGAGTTTCCCCTTGAAACCTTTGGTTTATGAAGGGGGCGGGGTTATGTTCAGTAGTGTTCTAAAAAATCAAAAGAATAATGCTGGCTTAATAGTCCCACCTCTAGCATCTCCTATCCCAGTGTCTGATGATACATCATATTTTCATTGTATTTTTAAATCTGTAGTTTTGTGCCAAACTGGATGTGTTCAGAAGCAGACCAACATTAAGTGCTAGCAGCCCCTTCTGAACTAAATTCAAAGTCCTCATTTAAGCTATCTAAGTATGGGCTTTATGACAAAACAAAACAAAACAGAAAACAAAACAAAAAAAAGCAGAGCTTTAGTTGAACAATCTGAGGCAAGGAAAAATGCTGCTCCTGCCTTTATAGCTCCTGTTTTATACTACCTCCTTTTAAAGTTATTCTAGTGTTATTTTTTTTCCTGTACTCAGGGAACATTTTGTTATTTTTGAGCTGCCTCATGGAAGCATGAGCAGATTGACAGGGTATGGTGCTTTTTGGTTCGTAAGTAGAAGTACGTGGGGCCTACATTTCTCAGTATCTAAAATTAAGGAGTACAATGAGTTCGTGTTATGTTTTTAAACTTTCATTAAAAGGCAAACAAAATCTAAAGCTGAAACATCATCCATCATTGTTATGGAAGATGTGTCTAGGACCGTATGAATTTGAGTAATTTTAAAAACCTAGAAAGATGATCTGAAGTCCTTGAGGAAAGTACTTTGTTTGGTTTTTGATGAACAGGCCTGTAGTTATTGTAGATCTTTAGGCAATAACTATTTGCTAATTATTGACCAGTACATTTCTTACTTTTTCACATTTTCATTTTGTTCCTATACAAATTTTTTCACAATAATCCTGTTAACCAAAGACTTTTCAGTAGAAAGTGAATATTTGACTGTAATTTCCCCCACAGATTGAGTTAACTAGAAACATCTATAAATAATGAAGCTTACACAAGTAGTTACTAACCCAAAATAATAGGGTTTATATTGATTGTTGTAGTTAAATAGACTAGTAATTTTAACTACCTTATTGTTACCAGAGCATTTAAAATAAGTTCTTTACCAGTAGAAAGTCCCAAAGAATTTCAAGTGTAATTTTTTTTTCTTCAGCAAGTAAATCTTCAACTATACAGTATTAAAGTATTTTTAAACTGTTGAAACTACTTGTTGGAGAGAAAAAAAATCTTTTCACCAAAGATAAATATTTTGGTCTCATTGAGTAAGACATTTAGTGTACTGCAAAGACTTCTTTTTACTTGGCCAAAGCTAGCTTCTTTGAAGCCTTAAGTATGAAATTTTAACTAAAATGTGAAGGTTCTCACTTATCTCTTATAGCGGTGTTACGTCATGGTATTTCACTCCAACGGGGCTAATATGCAAATGGTAACTATTTTCTTTTCCGAAGACTTACTTGCTGTAAGTACTGATACATGCATGTCATTTTTATGCCAAATATTACAAGATACTGCTCATCAGTATTTTCATACCAAAGACCATTAAAATATATAGATTAGCCTGTAAGTGAGTAAAGATGAGCAGATTTGAAATAAATTTATTTAGAGGCTGATAGGGAATCTAGCTTTAGTAGCAAAATATATCAAAGGGCTAAGTTTACATAATTAAAAGCAATACAATTATAATGGTATTTATCAGTGTTTTTATTCAGCAAATTTAAAAAAAACCAAAGATATTTAAGGTTACTTCCGCATATAGGCAAATTTAGTTGTACATTAAAACTGTGGTTTCTTGTTTTTATGTCTAGCAGATACGTCTCTCCAGAACCTGGTCTATATACAAATGGCACACATAGGGACTTTCCATCAAACCTGCCGATTCAGCCACAGGATGTTTTTGCCAAATGATGTGATATTTTCCTAAGTACCTTGAGCGTGAGATGTCAACAGAAATATCAGCAGGCTTTCCCACTGCAGACATTATGGTGGCAGTCCCTGAACTAGCCTGTGTAGTCTTCCTCCTGCCTGAAGCATTACCTAGTTAATTCAGAGGCTTAAGGCAGTCCCTTAATGGTAGGGATGTTCTCATCTCTGGAGAGCACTGGGACATAACAGGCAAACAAATCACATCACTGTTTTAGTGGAATATACTTTGATAAATGTGCTCTTTAAAGTTGTCCATAAATTGAAATATTTTAATTACATCAAGGGAGCCTGGTATTTCAAGTTTTAGTGGAACCTTGGGTGAAACAAAAATCTTTTTTATGAAACCCGAAGTTTTAGATTTTGATTAGCCTAAATGTAAGGATACAGCTTTATCCATGGAGTGGCTTTAAAATGTCAGCTTTGGCACACCGGGGAAATTAGATCCTCAGTGACGTGTCTTTTATTTGCCTTTGCTTCAAACAAGAGCAGTTGCCAGCATTGGGAACAATGACAGTGATTTGCATTCGTTTGTCTTGGCGTTGTATGGACTGCTGCCAGAAACTCGATGATGTTGGTTACTCAGGATCATTGTTCAAGTCCATATGAAGACACCTTTGAAAACAATTCAGAGTGTGTCTCTCACACACACACACACACACACACACACACACACACACACACGGAATTGCAAGCTTTTTTTTTGAATGCAAGAATATCCAGATGTGGCTCCATTTCAGCAGTATCTGTAGTGATTTACATGTATGTTTATATTTTTCTTGAATGTAATTTTGAATACTGAATGTAAAAACAAGTTCCGACATGATGAAAGAGTCATGATCTTCCTAAATCTCAACCTGTATTTTGTAGACTGTTTCTGACAGTTTGCCATGGGTCTCCCTGGTCAGATTGCTTTGGTTTAATTAATAGTCAAAATAATTTTTGTGGGCTGTGGACACAGAGTAAAGGGTTCTGGAGATCACCATATGCAGCCAGTCGTCTGTGAATTTTATTGATGTTTAGCAAAACACATACACAGACGTCTGTGTTTAATTGATTTATGCTCAGGATTTAAGATCACAGCCTAATGCAATGTGTATGTTTGCAGGCTTTACTCTTCTCGGGCCTTTGAAGGTGTTTAAGATTAACATGACATTCTTGCATTTCTATCTGACAGATAGTGTATTTTTTTTTTTCTTATTGCTGCTGTAACAAATTACCACAAACTTAGTGGCCTTAAAATAATGTACATCTATTATCTTCCAGTTCGTTAAGTCTGCAGTCTGACACAGGTCTCCCTGGGACAAAATCAAGGTCTGTTTCCTTGTCTTTTCTAGCTTTTAGAGGCTGTGGACCCCTCCCTCCATCCTCAAAGCCAGCAATGTAGCATCTCTCTGAACCTGCTTCCATTAGCATATCTGTTTTCTGACCCCAACCAGGAAAAGTTCTTCAATATTAAGGACTCAGATGATTAGATTGAGTCCACCTGGATAATCCAAGGTGATCTTCTCATCTCAGGATCCTTAATTTCATCACATTTTGCAAAGTCCATCTTGCCATGTATGGCAACATGTTTGGAGTCCAGGGATTTGAGCATGGACTTCTGTGAGTGGCCATTATTTTTCCTATCACAGATACACTACTTCTATAGAATTCTGATCCCCATAAACGTCTACAGCATGGCAGAGATGAAGTCTGAAGTCACGTGCCCCTTGGGCATCTTCAGAATTTTAAAACTGTGAAAACTTTAGCTTGTAATCTAGTGAATGTATATGTTAAACTTTCTCTCTAATTCACTTGCAGAAGCAATTCAGCTTTAAACTTTTTGAATATGTCCTTCATGAAGTAACACCTCAGTTCTATGAGTTTAACAGAAAGTTTCCTAAATATTTGGCTCTAACATTATGACATTTCATGAGAAATTTTTAAAAACTGTCCTCCTTAGAGTTGAACTTTCCCCTTTTCTCTTTCTAGAGACTTTCATAGGGAATCCAAGTAGATGAACAGGACCATGCTCAAGTTCACTCTTCATTTTCTTTTAAAAGCATATTTTCAGCAGGCAACCTTTCTCCCTTTTAAACGGGGCTTATTTCTTCAGCTTCACCAGCTACCGACTATTTAGTTTTCAGTATGGTAGCCCCTCAATTTTCCATCAGTTTCAGCAAGTGCCACCTGGTACCTTATCCACATGAATAACTCCTAGGACATGTTATCTTTCTTGTCTTTCTTCTTCTTTGATTCCAGTTGTCCCTTTCCTAGAAAGTTTTAGATTCCACAGCTCTAGTTGATTCTAATTCCTGGATCATTCCAAAAGTCCAGTCTTTTCATTTTGAAGGATAGTTTCCGATTCTACCTTAATTTTCAATATTTCTTCAACAAGGGAGATAAAGCTATCTCCATCCTGGGGTAACAACCATTATAATATTCTGAGTAAGGATAAGAAAAGAATGCTGGTCGTTTTTCAGCTGCTTCTAACTCTAGTCTCTAGAAAAGGATAGTGCCGTGTACTGAGCATATGGGACCTGCCAAGCATGGGCTTCATCCCTCTAAACGCTGCATTCTGCAAAGCAAATACTATCCCGTTACAGAGATCAGGAAACTGAGGCTTTAAAACGGCGAACTTGCCAAAAATCACAGCCAGTAAGTGGCAAACCCAAGTCGATCCAACTCCCAGGTTTATTGGATTTCTACTATGATGCATTTTCTCAGCTAAGAAATCATACTTAATTACCCAGGCTCGTAGTGCTGTATCAACACAACCTGTCCATATAGTAATAGCCAGCCAACGGAGAGCAGTCTTAGTTACATTGATTTATTCACAGGAAGAATTTAGGAGGCTGAGCTGTAACTCACCCTTGTCATCTCCTCACCTCCCTCTTTCCTCCTTTAAAACTTTCAGTTTCCGCCCTGGCAGGTATGGCCCAGTTGGAGCGCTGTCTCATGCACCAAACAGTTGCTGGTTCAATTCCCAGTCAGGACACATGCCTGGGTTGTGGGCTTCATCCCTGCTATGGGGCTTGTAGGAGGCAGCTGATCAATGGTCCTCTCTCACATTGATGTTTCTCTCTCCCTTCCCCTCTTTCTGAAAATCAATTTTAAAAATCTTAAAAAACACAACCCTTCAGTTTCTCTGAGCCAAAATTGTGTCTGAGAACTGATGCTGTGCCTAGAGTTGCATGAAAAATAAGGTAGGCATGGTTTCTGGAGCCCTTATCTATTCAAGCATTTCCTTATTAGACTACGTGTTCAGAGTCTTTTGCAATTTTTCTGTATTCTCCATCTCCAAATAGGAATTTATTAATTGGGAAATGCCAGGTATATAACTAGTCATCCCTTCCTTGCTAGATCTGAAGCAATAGTTTTTATATGCCTGAAACATAATTACAGACACTAATTTAGGAGGGAGCAAAGTCAAGGGAGAATCCTATAACAGAACAAGTATAAGGTGAGTCATTGGAGCACCTAAATTCTAGTCCTTGACAATTTTGAGAGTTGTTCGGTAGGAAAGTTTGTAACCTATTTCTGTTCCTCCTCTATTCATGAAATTAGGGTAATCTGTTGTACAGAATGAAGCATTAGTACTTTGAAAACTTAAAAAGAAAATTCGAGTGTAAATAATTGTAATCAAAGTCATTTCCATGAGGCTGTGAAACAGCTGATTTTTTTCTTTACAGGTCAGCCTTTCCAATTACATTTTACCTCTGCTAAAATTTAAAGTATTTGCATTTCCTGTATATGCATCAAAAACATTAACAGAAGAAAGTGGTTGGTAAAAGACATAGAATGGGATTTAAACACTCATCTGTAATGTAAGTAAACCTATAAGAGGAAATGGGAATTTACAATACTTTTGAGAGTACTAAACATGAAATCATTTTACACCAAGTTAAAGCTTTCATTTTGTAAATATCTTGGCTTTTAAAGATTTAAGGAGTCAGACAGACCCAGAGGGGTAGATGGGTGAGGAGAACGTACATTTTTAGAATTCTTTTCTAACAGATCTACCTTTTTAAGAATACGGAGCGTTTTGACATTTCTTTAAACTATTTGGAATAAATTTCATATAGGGCAACACCTGACTGGCATCTATTCTAGTTTACTCTACTTTTAAGGGGTTTTTAGAGGAATTTTATGATTAGTATCTTTTTTTAAAGAAAGGAAATATTTTTCCTTTTTCTTGCATCATCCAGTATCACTCCCCGCATCCCCCCCCCCCCCCC